AGCAGCCTGTCCACCCATTACAACTCACATCGATCAGGAGTGGCAACCGGCTCCACTGCACATCCATGATGTACACATGCAGGGAGAGCCGCAAATTCTTGTCAATGCCCACACTCATCCATGCTCAGCGAAATGAATTGCATGCTCCACACAAGCTCCCGGACCTTGTCCATCAGTACCCTGTCAAGCGCCTCAGCGAGGTTCCAGGCTGAGAAGCCGCTCCAGTGCGAGCTGCTCATGTGTGGGACGGACAGCGCCTTGAACGCCTCCTTAGAAGCCATGAGGTCCGTGATGGGCTGCCCCCGAGTAAGCTGCCAGAAGAGCTGGATGAGCTGCTGGTGCTTGGCCTTCTCTGGCTCCGTGTTGCCCGGGGTGTAGAGCTGTGGCAGGGTCGTGTTCTGCTGCTGCTGGAGTGCCAAGCGTGCCTTCTGGCCCTGTTCATGCTCCACTGACGTCTTGTGCACTTCAGACGTGACGTGCTTGTCGAGGGTAGCCGCCCGGCACATGACCAGGTAGTCGCTCTTCTTCATCAACATGCAGGGGATGCAGCGCACTTGGTCGTGCACTTCTCCGGCGTCCACGTCAGCATGCACAGGCTGGGCCCAGGGATACCTGGCGGCCCAGGCAATCTGCCATCTGTAGGGGTTCTCTTTCTGCTTGTCCCACTCTGCACCGTCACTCTGGCCCTTGCAGATGTGCTGTGTCTGAGCCTGCTTGGCACTGCGAGCGCTTGGGTTGGGTGCCTGGAATGGATTGCCGGCCTCACCGCATTCACTGTCGTTGTTGTCGAGCTGATTGGGTGACAGCTTGCGCTTAGGCTGATCACCCCTGCCATGGAAGGCAGGGGTAATGGCGCCCATATCATCGGCTGGCAGCAACACCATTGCCGATGCATTACCGACAACAGCACCGCCGTCCCAAACACCTTTATCAGGAAAAATTTCAGGCTTATCTTGCTGTTTTGGTGTTGTTTGTTCGACGTTCTAGTCGTTGCCTTTTGTGTGTTTGGCTATGTGAGGACCGGTCATACATTCTGCTATGCCGCATTGACTCACGGGCTAGATCTTCTTACGGCCCCTCATATCTATTCTATGATTAATAATACTAAGTTCTGCACACTACGGAGCAATCTGGCAGCAATGGACGTTTTTGGCTGGAGGAATGAAAATGTACGGATCGGCCTCAATTTATTCCGTTTTTCCAAAGGCCCAAATGGCCTGTTTATTCCTTTTAAGGAATATATTGCTTAAAAAAAACACTGCCGCTAACCCGGAGGGTGGTGCTGACAAGGGCATCACCATCGTGGGAGGCGTGAATGGGACTGCAGCTGCAGCTGGCATTCCCAACAAAGCTGCAGCGGGACCAGATGTCCCTGTTGCTGAAACTACCGGAGCCACCACTGCGGGACAACAGGCCACAGTGGATGCTGCAACCCTGGGCCACGGATGTGGGTGGTGGGGGAAGTCCGCAGCAGCCCTGAAGACAGCAAAGGCTGGCTCAAAGTGCAGACGTTCTGTGCCTGATGTCATCTTGACGGAAGCAGATCTCCCCTTCGTGGAAATAAAGGCGAAGGGGAAGGGGGGCAAGAAACGACGGCATTAATGGATGCACGTCTAAATTGGGATGAATGCATATGTAATGTGATGGACAGCTGCATTGTCTTCTTTTGTGAAGATGGCTTTGATTAGGGCTGAAGGCACGTGTACATTCGTATCACTTTGGTGGACAGGGTCTTGAGATGGCTTGGCTTTTAAGCAAATCCGTATCAAGACATTGTCCATCACGTGATAAGAACGCGCCTTCCTAGTTAGGAATGCAGGCGCGTCCATATGATGCAATGGACAGGGGTTTATATCATGAAAAGGCTTAATTTTGGGCTGAAAGGGGCACTCATATCACGTGATATAACCGGCTTCATTTTGGACTGAAGGGGCCTTCAGATCACGTGATGTACATGTTTCATTTTATGGAGACTGCTTCATTTGGGAATGAGGGAGCCTTCATATCACATGATGGATATGGGCTCATTTTATGGAGACTTCTTCATTTTGGACTGAAGGGGCATGCAAACCGTAGGGAGCGTTCATTCCGAGCTCCCTTCATTCTGTAATGAAGGGGTCTTCATTCCAAAATGATCCTTGGCCCTGGAATGAAGGGATGAAATGAATGTGAATCGAATCAGGAATGAAGGCTCCTGGTTCCCAGAGTGCATGACAGGTACATACTTTGGTGACAACAATGCTGCCAGGCTGCTCCCATCCCACACTATCCACACGCAGCGACAGAGACAGCGACAGAGAGGAGGAGAGGAAGAGAGAGTATGTGCGTGTGTGAGAGAGAGAGGGAGAGAGAGATCAAGGCCTGGAAACAGACGCTACAGGAATATGGGGCACCCTACTGTTGTCCAGTATGGGAGGAATTTGCTGCACCAAACCGCGTGATTAAGCGGCCACTTAAATTATTTGACTTCGCTCCGAGCTTTAGTCTAAGAGGCTTTCTTCCAGCGGTTTTGGGGCGGGGCCCCAGCGTAAAGCGCCCAGGGGGGCCCCGCCCTGCATGTCCGTGCCAGACAAACATAATATCTCGCCCAGCTGAAATGCGTTATTGGTAGTATATCACATTCTCTATTGGAAGGTATCTCGCCTGTAGCCAACAAAAGTCGTATGAGCACGAACAAGTTTGGCTGCCTCCATTGACCGAGGCCAAAGTCGCATCAGCACCCCTCGGGGTAAATTTAATTTCAAAAGGTGCCGCGTATCTCATAATTGAGTTCTGAGATGATGGCGTACGATACCTCGTACGAACACCCAGCTTGTGTTGCCCGCACGGGCATTACTACCAGCCACCAGCAGGCCGACGAATTCGCTTTCATTTCTCTATGAAATACGCAAGCTGCTCGTTTGTACAGTTACTTTGGCCAATGCTCAGGGCCTCAGAAGACGTGTAGTGTGCCGTGATGAAGCTCGCGGCTGTGGGGCAAATTGCTGAAGCCGCTGGCGCTTCAGGGGTAAACATCATGGACAGCACCGGAAAGTGCTGAGGGCTTTGGGGATGTGTGTCGAGCTAGGCTTTGAGGGGGCCGCCAAGGGTGCGTGAGCAGGTGCCCGAATGGGCAGGTCAATGCCTGAAGGGGCACCATAGGCGGTGTGTACAGTGCTGTATGGTGCTGCTTTCCGTGTGTGTTCGGGTTGCGGCACCAGACTGCAAAGCCAGAAGGCTGAAGGCCGGCAAGCTATGGTTGTGTCTGCAGAGGTTTGAGCATCTGGCCTGGACTGCAGACTTGGCGGCTGAGCCCCTGCTGTGTGCCACAAGACATACATTTACACCCAAGCAAGGGTCTGTCGGTGCCAGGTTGTGGACCTCCCAACTACTTGTAACAGCCAATGACTCTTAACCGTGTCTGCTAGGGAACCTAGAGAGGCACCATCTCTTCAACAGGTTATGAGCCCCGGTTTCCTGCCTCACACGCTCTGACAAGCATACCTCCCACAGCATCAGCACTGCTGCAACAAGCACATCTCCCACCACGTTGGTCCCTAGCTACTGGCCTGTACAGATGCAGGGGGGCCCCGCCCTTTTTCTGGCTTCAAGGAAGCCGACACAGCTTGTCACTATGACCCAAAAGACCCCCCCTATGACCCAGAAGGGACGACAAAAAGAAGTTAGTTTACAAAACTCACAAAGGGAGAAAACGGAGAGGAAGGGAAAACGAACCCGGGGAAACCAGGAAAAAACTTAGCCAACCAATTAACCAACTACGAGTCACCAAGGACCATTTGCGTCTATATGAGCAGATGGTGACTAAAATACTTTAGTCCGGATATGCACGACGAAACAGCTGCAGAAACCGTCATGGATCACCACACGGACGCGGCCAAGTCAAAAGGGAAGAAAGATTCAATGCAGGCAGGGGACGAGCCCCTTCATCCGTATGACACGGATAAGATTCGGCAGGTTGGTCGCCCAAATACTTGAGCTGTTGTGCATACTAGCAGAGAGTTCCCCTTAGGATTCGAATCCCTCTAACCCACTAATCCCCTTTATTTCCAAAGTCTGTTTGTGGCTGAAGAAGCTGGAGCATGTGTGTGCCAGCAGCGGCCTAGAGCTGATTCAGCAGACCGCACCACTAAGCCATGTTAACGAAGGAATCATGCGGAAACATATTTAGTATGATTGATTGAATGTTGGTCGATAAAGATGCAATGCAAACGATTGATAGGTAGGGGCACGCGCACAGATTGCCCTACTCCCTAAAACCCTAAAACCCTACTCCTCCTGCGTGCCTCCAGCGATGTGCTTTTGCACATGACTGCATGTGCCCATCTCTGTTTGTGCAGTATTTTCTTTAAGCCTCCTTCAAGCATTACCCGACTCCACACAATATTTCACATGGCGGCTTCGCGGCAGCAGCTCAATGCGACGGGCACGGGTCGCGATGGCGGGTGTCACGCATCACATATAACAAGCCGCCAAAGACGATGTCCCCAAGGCCGTACAACTATTCCCCATGCGGTCTGTAACACCAGGCAAAGAGTACTCAGTTGGGAGATGCCAGGGGAGCTGATCCCTCTCACATTCCTCCCCCCCTCGAGTGAACGTCCTCGGGCGCCCCCGGGCATATCCCGTATGATTTTGGTTGTTTGAGATCCCGTAGGATTGTGTATTTAAGTGTTATTGACATTTCATCAGTCTCCGTCTGAGATGGAGGACTTTATTTTTACTCAGCTGGTAGACTTCTCGCCCGCCCGGGCATCCACCTTCGGGGTAAGAGTATGCTGCATCGTGCCAGGTGAACTATATGTTCGCAGCCGGATTCGATCCGGGGAGGTTCCCACCTCCTAGCAATTCGCACCAATGTAACACTAGGCAGAGAGTACTCAGTTGGGAGATGCCAGGGGAGCTGATCCCTCACATGGTCTGCAAAACATGCGTGAGGTTTACTACACCCATGCGCGTCTATCAGTTATCAAGTTTATTTAGCCACGTGCAGCAAGTGGTTATCAAGCTCGTGGGTTCTGAGATTTGCTGGGCGGTGGTGAACGCTGAGGGGGGTTTGGCGGCTTCGGACTTGGCGTTGGCGTTGGCGGCCTCGGACTTGGCGTTGGCGGCCTTGGCTTTAGCGGCGGTGCTGGTGGCCTCGGTGACGGTGGCAGCGATAGAGACTTCGGGTCGGGGCATTCCTGAGAAGTAGATCTGTAGCGGCAGATATGCACTCTGAGAGTGTCCAGGCTGACCCAAGATCCGCCGTACACGACGAGGTTATAGTTGGTCAAATTGGCTAGACTGCCAGGTACAGGTGCGGCCAGGAAGTTAAGGAAAGGATCTCTGACGAAGAATTTAGGGTTGTCGTCCTGTGGCGGTGAAAGCAGCGGGATGTGGTATGTTGGAAGAATGACGCAAACGTTGTTTGGTGATGGCGACGACGATGGTGGGACATCAACAATGGACATCTGTATTGACATCGACGACTGACATTTGTATTGATGAGGCTTGATAAGGAACCAAACACAAGTAACTGACTAACCAGAGATCTGAAGATGCGGCCGAGCAAAACCAAACGAACAGGCAGTAGCAGTTGCAGTAGTAGCAGCAGTAGCAGCAGTAGTAGCAGCACTTCTACTTGAGGCAATTCCCTGATATGAAGAGTGGTGGCGGACCGGGTCCTGCCGTATTCCGGTGCTGCTATGCAAATGCTTGACAGATTGCTCAACGGAACGGAGAAACGACACTGGGACGACCCCATCCTCCCCACCCACCTCAGACGCATAGACCTCGTGGACATTCACTGCGTTCGCATATGGCCTTTTGAGCTCTGCATCACCATTTTTGTTGACTCGTACAGCGATGTACAGGTTCCTGGCTATGGTGAGGTTCCTGTACGATGGCAACCAGTCGGGGGTAACCCGAAGGTAGATTCCTTCCGACGTCATGTAGGTGGCGGGCAGAGTGAAGCTGCGGACAGTGCCCACCGGCAGCTCGGTGGAATTGAGTTGTCCTCCGCCTTCCGCGGGGGTGGCCCAGCCCATGAAGGCCAACTCAGCGGCGTTGGGGCAGGCGTTTGCTAGCCCCATAGCGGTTGAATTATCGGTATACTCGAATCCATCCTTGTATGAGTGCCTCAGACCTGTGGGGCGAAGGCATGCATGCATGTGTCTGCCCATTGATAATACCCTGTCTTGCAATCTGCAGTTGTGGTGTGTGGCACTTGTGCAAACTTGGTACATGCATGCTTCGACAATATGTTAACATGGTATACACTACACGCTAACTCACCAAAATTATGAAGGGTCTCTTGCATGACGGTCCCCCAGCGGTACACGCTTTTGTCCACATTCAACAGCCAGGACTCCCGTACCGTGCGTTCAGTGTTTCCAAGCTGCGCGGCGCCCAGGAAACCACAATTCAAGGCGCCCGGCAGCAAGAAGGTCCTTTGGGTGAAGTCTGAAAACGCCGTCTCACCCAGCAGCGTCTTCGCTTTGGCATTGGCCTCGGCGGAAACATTGAACGGATCGCATTCTATAGCCGCTCCATTTCGGCAGGTGGCATTAATAACGATCGCCGTGAACGCTGTGGTGTTCAGGTTGAACCTGCCGTGTGAGCACTGCGTGTATTTTTGTGCGATACCGCCGCTACCGTCCCCTTGCGGTCCCAAATAGATATTCCGCACTTCGTTCACGCTCATTGTAGGGGGTAAGCCGCAGCTCGTATAGTCCGTAATCACTACTAGCAGCCGTTGATTGATGATGGCGCCCTTGTCGGGAAATAAGAGCTGTGGCATCGCCGATAAGACGATGGTTTTCGTGCCCGGAACCGGTTCACAGGTGCCCAGCCGTACATTCATGTAGCATGTCTGTACGAACACGGGGACACGGCGAGGAGTTTATGTTTTCAATGGGGACTGTAATTGAATGGATAAGCTAATGATAATTAAGCCCGGGATGAGCGAGTGTGAATGCAGTAGTGCTTCCAAAACACGAAGCAAACCATACAGCTTTATTACTTCATAACCTTCCTTTTTTTCCGAACAACAGGATTGAATAGTTATACATACACACATACACACATACACACATACACACATACACACATACACACATACACACATACACACATACACACATACACACATACACACATACACACATACACACATACACACATACACACATACACACATACACACATACACACATACACACATACACACATACACACATACACACATACACACATACACACATACACACATACACACATACACACATACACACATACACACATACACACATACACACATACACACATACACACATACACACATACACACATACACACATACACACATACACAACACATACATACACACAATTGCACACACATGCACACATACATACACATACACAAATACACAACACATACATACACACACATGCACACATACATACACATACACGGCCCCCGGCTCTCGCGGCCCACAGTGTAATCGAAGTCATACACATACACACATACATACACATACAAACACATTTCCGTGGTCGAGACATTTAAAGCTGATGGGCTAGCTGATGCTGGCTGAGTGGCTGTTGGAAGTACATACGCGCACGCAGCTACCCAGGAGTATGACTGCTACCGAGCGCTGGTTGCTGGTTGCTGGTTGCTGGTGCGGCCAGAACATGCCCCCGATGATCCCGCAGGATCTCTTATATCTGCGCACCCCCCAGCTGGGGCTATTGGGGCTTTTGCTGAGGACCGCAAGTGCCGGCACCAGCCTGCTCCTTATCCTGTTTGGTTGGCTGGTAATGGCATAATATGTGGTTGTATTTCTTATTGTAGGGATAGATGTGCTGCACCCTAGGTCAGCGTCGTGCGTGCAATTTCACACAGGTAAATACGCGTTGCATGCGTTAGAGAATAACAGCTATTAGGACTAGTAGCTGCCGCGCGTAACGTACGGCACACGCAGAATGAATGTGTAGGCGCTAAAACGTAGCGATGAGGACCTCGAGCAAGGAGTCGGCATGGTGGCGTATGACTATGGCTTATAGCACTACGGCAAGTTAGGTTACCCTTAAGGTTCGGGATTATTCTAAGTAATTCTGTATTAGTACGGTGGCTACTGCAACACACAAAGCGCGCCAAACATAGTGACACGTAGGCAGCATGCCGTTATCAACTGACTATGAAAGGGACAATAGTAGCAGTGATAATAATAATAATATTAATATTAATTATTATTAATAATATTAATTAATTAATATATTAATTATATTAAATATATTAATATATATTATAATAATATATAATAATAATAATAATTAATAATAATTTAATATAATATTATTTTAATTAATTTAATATATTAATTAATTAGGGTTTTTATATAATAATTAATATTATTATAATAATTATGATTATAATTATAATTATAATTAATAAACATTGACAATATAATAATCATGATCATATGAATACATTATTATATTAATAGTAATAATAGTAATAATAGTAATAAATAAAAAGGCAACAGATGCGAGGCGGTGGAGTACTCACGATGGTCACAAGCGCTCCACGGGTCACAGGCTGCCCACTGTCGTCCGTCGTGGGGGGTTTATAGCCCAGCGCAATGGGTACACTGTCGCCGTCGCTCTTTATGATGATGTACTGGTCTTCCTTTTGGTGGGTAATCAACAATGTGAGCTCCCCTGTCACATCCACTGCTTTTGGTGCGGTGACACCGCCAACGGCTGCACCAGGCGGGGGCGGCCTGCGGGCATCCGCCGCTTTCGATTGCTTTGGTGACGGTAGGGGGTTCTTCCTGGGAGGCGGTGGCAGGGCGGCCTCCAAGGAGTCCAGGGAGGGACACTCCCGCGGGGAATCACGGTAGCGGCAGAAGTGCACTCTGAGGACATCCGTACCGACCCAAGATCCGCCGTACAGGACCAGTTTATAATCGGTCAGAACGACTTGGCTGCGGGGTGCCGCCGAATTGATGAAGCTGATTTTGCGATCCGTGTACGGGTACCTCGAGGCGTCATTGTCCTGTGGGGGATGTGATTGGGTGCATTGCATGGTAGGTTACCAAAACGGCGAGTTAGGCGAGAGGCCGCGAGTTAGTTGTTTTTAGTTGTGGCTGGATGCATGCATATGGCGGCATGCACGGCGGCATGACATGCCGGGCATGTACGGAAAGCGGTTGAGCATCGTCACACCCATTTACGTAGCAGCAGGGGTCGAGCGCGCGAAATGTGGGGGAATCAAGGAAAACGCCCGGGCCGACAGGTGGAAACGGATCCTTCCCCTTCACGCACAGCACCTAACGCACCGCACTTATTATTTGGAAGGAAAGATACTTGATGGACCAGTTGATACTTGTGAACTGTAAGCTAGCTGCTCAATGATAGCCATTGCTCTAGTATCTTCTATGCACGTGCACTATGCACCCTATACTAAACATGGATCGTTTCTTCTATTATAATATATATATAGGACATGTCACTGTACACTACACTGTACACTACACTCCGTGGAACGGACCTATCCTAGGGTCCCACCTACCCGCTTAGTAATCACTTAGTGGCTTCCTTATACCAACTACGGCGGTAACAGCTTCATATGTCACAGCTCTACTAACTGCCTAACACACGAAGTAACTGAAATATCCTTTTTCTTATCTCACAGAACTATGCAGGAAAGCCAGGGAGGGGAAGAGAAGGATGGGGAATAATGGTACTGGAGGGAGTCAAGCTGCAGCATGTAACTGCTGTGCCTCCCTCGGTCGTACACATATACGTCTACAAGATTGTACGATTGAACCAATCCGTCCAGATCACGTTTAAGTGAGTTGGAGCGGATAGGAGCTTCACGCATGCATGCATGCACCCGTATTTGATATGGTGCCTCTCATCATCATAATTATTATTATCATTTTTATTTTACTATTATTATTATTATTGTTGTTATTAATATTATTATTATTATTATTATTTAATTTATCATATTATTATTATTATTATTATATTATTATTATTGTTTCTACTATTACTATTTTTATATTATAACCATTGTTATTATTAGAAAGCAAGTAACTTACCATGGTCGCGTTGACCTCGTGGACATTGACCGCGTTTGCGTACGGCGCTGCCAGAAGCGCATCACCGCCCTTGTTGACTCGTACGGCGATGTACAGGTTCTTGGCACCGGTGCGGTTGCTGTACGTCGGCAACCAGTCGGGGACAACCCTAACGAAGTGTCCGTCCGACGTCAGGTAGGTGGCGGGCAGGTTGAAGCTGCGGACCGTGCCCACTGGCAGCGTGTTTGCGTCGACTTGGCCTCCGCCTTTCACTGGCGATGTCCAGCCCAGGTAGGCTAGCTCGGGGGCGTTGGGGCAGACGTCTTTGCGGCCCGAGGGGCTTGAACCGTCCTCGAACTCATGTCCGCCTTGCCATGAGTGCCACAGACCTGCGTCGGGGTGGGCGGGCGCACGCGCATGTGTGTGTGTGTGTGTGCGTGTGTATGCCTTGCGTGCTGATGACGTCAGAAGTTAATAAAACAGCCTAAGAATAGTTAGTCCGCGCACACACACACACACACACACACACACACACACACACACACAGCAGCAGCAGCAGTGGGGCGGTGACACGGCATCCATCCATCCAGTGCCCTGGCAATTACCGCCTCAAGCATGCACCCCCAAGAGCAGAACCCCATGCAACTCAATATCACTCTTAAGTTTCTCATACATCAGATTATTGCCAGATGAAGCAAAAAAGCGGCCCGCCGTGGCTGGCATACAAAATGCCGAGCTAATGCTAGGAGTGCTATCTATAGGAGGCAAATGTTAGCACGAGGAGCCCTCTGGGTCATCCATCTGACAACGTCCACCCCTCGTTTTCTTATGTCGTTCAGTTACACTGTTTGCTAGCTTCCACGCAGCCATCCATTCGCTCCTTTCCTCCGTCTTGCACCCTACTTACTGCCTTCCCCCCACTAGTCGAATTAATTCATTCGCGCCTCACCGAAGTTGTGAAGCGTCAGCTCCAGGGTTGCCGACCAGCGCTCCAAACTGCCCAACAACGTCCGCAGCACAATCTGCCGCCCCGGCACTGCTGCCCAGTCTCCGCGACAGAATTCATTCACCCCCGGCGGAAGAACATAGACGTAATGACTAAAGTCCGACAGGAATGCGTCTTCACCAAGGATGTCCTTGGCACCGCTGCTCCCGTCCTTAATGAACCTCAACACGGGGCATGTAGAGAATGACGGCCCCGGCTCATTGCTGCTGCAGTTGGCGGTCACTGTGATTGCCTTGAACGCCGTGATGTTGAGCTTGCCGTACGAGCACTGCAAGTACTTTTGTGTGATGCCGCTGCCTAGGCCCACAGGGCTAGGCTTGCCCATGAAGATGTTCCGTGCCCCGAATTCTGATAGAGCGGCTGGTGCACGGCAGGCAGAGTAGTCCATGATAATGACGAGCAGCCGCTGCTTGTAAATGATGTCGCTGTTGGCGCCCGGCAAGAGCACAGGCCTCGCCGACAAGATGGTGGTGCTCGAAGCCGAAGCTGGGTTGCAGACACCAAGTTCGTCCACGTGGCATGACTGCGGGTGGAATGAATGAATGGAGGGAGAGAGACATGAAATTGGCTTGAGTTAGTGTAGGATTGTAGTAGGGAGTTTGAAATCGATGCGGCAAACACATACACGCACACAAATACATACACACAAACACATACACACATACACACATACCTGATGCGCATTTGTACGCCAGGCTAAACCTATTACTACACGCACTTCGTTTGTTACAATTATACGCACACATATAAAACATGAAAAGGATAATAATAATAATAATAATGTTATGAGCAAGTATTAAGTTGGAAGGAAGCTTAAGGCAGCAGAGCAGCCACTTACTATCGCTACCACAGCTCCAGGCATCACGGCCTGGCCCAGGTCGTCCGTGGCGGGCGGCTTATATCCGGGAGCGATGGGTGTCATGGAGCCGTCGCCTGTGCGGATGGCCCATTGTTTGTCGCTGTTCTCCGAATCGGTGTTCATGAACACCAGCTCGCCCAGGATGTCCGTGGCTCCGCTGGTTGCTGTGACTTCGGAAGATTGTGCATCGTCAGAGGGCAACTCCCCAGCTGGGGGGGGAGCTTCTCCAAAGGACGAGTCATTATTGAACTCGTCGAGGTAAGCCTCCTTGTCGCTGTTATCTCCCGCCTGCTGGCTGAGTCCTGTATGGCGGTGTATGTATGTATGTATGTATGTATGTATGTATGTAAGGTCTCAGATTGTTATAATGAAGTAAGTTGCCGCCCACTGCTGCAGTGGGAGCCGTACATCAGATCACACGGAACTGGATCCGGGGCTGGGTCCGATTTCCCTTCTCTTGCCATTGATATGATGAGAAATGTTTGTGTGATTGGCTAGTCTATACACACACCGCGCCTGGGGCCATGGGCGGGCTCTACAGCCCTGCAAGGCTTGTGTTGGTGAGGCAATCTTTACAATTGTACACTCACAAGTGATTGGTGAACATGTATGCTTGTATGTGTAGACATGTGAGCTCGTGACAGGCAGTAGACATGTGAGCTCGTGATGGGCATATGCATGGATGGAAGTGTATAGAGAGGCATGCACATATGTATGCACACATAGACAGGCGAGACAGGCATACATGCTCACATAGACGGATGAGACAGCTGTGATAGCATGTGTAGGCAGGTTGGACAGGGACATCCTACAATCCATTGACACCAGCATATGGCCCGGCATACGGTCGAGGAGCACTTGTAAACACGGGTTACCGTGTCTGTTACCCCTCGGTACAATATTACCCCGGCCCCTTTGTTACCACTCGCGATCGGTAAGGGGTTATCCCTACCCCGGGGTTAGGTTACCCACCTCTCTTCGTACATAGCCACATGGGTAACCACTTACCCCTAACCCTAACCCCTGGAATATGCTTCAGGGGGGCTTACCCCTCGTTTTATGCCATAGGGGTGTATATTTATGATCCGATAGATGTTCCTATAAGCATACAAGCATACATACATACATACATACCTCCCGAAGCTCTCAAGATCAAAAGGAGTAGTGATAGCACCAGCTGCTGGTGCCGCCTCATTTTGTTCTTCTTCAAAGTATTATGCAGCAGCGGCTCGCACGCGGAAGGACGTGGTAGATATACATAGATGTAGTCCCTGTCCTGGCGTTACAAATAAAATTGGGTTTTGTATTCTCAGCAGATCCTTGATTGCAAGCAGCAGGCGGGGCAGCAGATGGACATTATATATTACATATTTTTGCGAACTGCTGCCAGCTGAAAACAAAGCAATCACACCAGCAGCAACCGCGCGATACCCAAGCAAGCAACACATTATTATTGTAACAACATCTAACACACATCAATGTAGTATAGTTCCAGGAATTACCACTTACTACCTGAGCAAATTGCGCACTTGTGAATGTCGTCTTTCATCACGTCGCGATTGATATATACATCTAATTGATTTGTTCGCGAGAGCGGTTACCGATGAGAGGTTAATTATCTGAGATGATAATCTTTTGGTATATTAGTCTCTACTGCAGTGCACGGCCAGCTGGCCCGATGGCTCTACTCTTCGGGAGTCTGGAGCCCACTGTAACAACCACACACATACATCTATCTCGTCACTTTTTAATAAGTGCGTGGAAACTGCCGCTGGTTCGACGCGCGCGCGCGCAGCAGCAGCCTTTAGAACACATGTGTTCTGTACAGTGACTCTTCGATGGCAGTTCTTTTGATCATATCATATGTATTTGTTTGTACAAACAGCGACGCACGCACGCCTGTCTGTTGCTCTGCTTAACGGTGCCTCCTCCTAGCTAGGGCCGAGTCGCAGGTAGCTAGGGCGCCGCTTGAGAGGCAGATCCCAATCGCCAAGAGAGTTAGGTAGATACAATGCAGCTGCATATCGATTGCAAAGCGACAGCGAAGATATTCATTTGCGTGCTTAACGAAGCCATGGTAACCGCAATCCGCGATCCTCTGGCGATCCTTATTACACCGCACGCAGCAGATGTTCTATGTGGCGTGGGCCTAGCTAATGCTGATTTGTTAAATTTGCCATGTTTAGCGTGTGAACAAACTCGCTAAGCAAACCTTTAAGCAGCTAAATTCGGTTACGGAAGTCGCCGAGACCAAAGTGTTGGGACGTGTCCAGATATGGTCGTGGCGTTTCGTGACGATTTAGGATAGCTCGACAGAAAGGGTTCCTATTGGGGCGAGTTGGATCCCAAAGAATATTGGGGTCGGGCGCCCTTCGGCGAGTTGGTAGGACCTGCTGTTGATTTGTCTGACTATTTTAAACGACACATCGTTTCCTATTTTTTATCCAAAAAACAGCTATGTGTAATCCTAACCCTAACCCTAACTCCACTCGGTCACGTAATAACCGGCAACCCCGCCGGCGGATAGGCGGATAGGCGGATAGGCTCCATCATCAGCTACGTAGAGGGCCGTTCCACTGGCGCATCCATGGGCGATTTCTGCGGTCTTTTTGCCGAAACTGTTGGTGTAGATGATGGTAATAGACTTTGTGTGTGTCACTTGAATTCAGGCTTGGACACGGCCAGCGACGAAGTTGCCGGATGGAAACGGAATTTTCCGTAAAATTTATTATTATCCCGAACTAAAGAACGTCAGAACAATAATGTCCCCAAGGGCCATACGTCAAATGTTGTACCTCGACAACGCTTTTTATTATGCGGGCGTGCATTTATTATACATTACGTTTATTACATTTGCTGCACTTAATAATAAGTAAGAGCTTTTTCCAATTGCATTGAATTGGATTGGATAGACATGCCGCGCGAGAGAACACTCTTTCACAAATCGTTCAAACTCGCCAGACGCGTCTTCCAATGCCCTGTTGGGTTCTAATACTCGGAATACGGAGTTAAGGAGTCAATGTACCTTGCTTGGAGGAGGCAAGGCGGCAAGATAGCATACCACTTTCCTTTCAAGGCGTTTTCAAGCACGAGGTTTCCCAAATTTCTGCAGACCAATGACCCAACTGTGCGAATAGGAGCAAAGACAGTGTTGCGTTCTGCTGTCAGGTGGGCTGGATTGGTTCCCTAAACTACTCGAGCGCGGACGGCAATGGCAAGCTAATTTAGTCAATTTCCCTAAGGTTCCCTAAATTTCCCTAATAGGGAATTATTAAACGTGCGTCAACGAATGGAAAGGCCCTCGCCTAGCCTCCTGCGAGCTGCCAAACGTCCCCATCCAGCAGCCCGCCGGCGTTGGTCATACAATTTCTGTTACTCTACTTTCCATCGCCAGAAAGTGACTTGCAGCGCACTGATGATGATACGACCTGCAGACTGTTATATCGCCAGGTTTGAACTAGCAGCCGCAACGCAACGCAGCAGACACAGCTGTGCACACCAGCGGAGTCGCAGCCCGGGGATCCTTACATTCGCAATTTCACATATCTTTTGTCGCGTATATGCATAAGAACCTTGACCCTGTCACACTGATCCGATTTGTCGTTCACTGTTCACAGGCCCAAGTCCGCCTCAATCCAAACTTCCTCCGCTTGCATTCACTTAACTTCTCAGCACCCTACCTACCAACCTTAGGGTGTACTAGCCACGGATGCGACACCGCGTAAAAAGCAACACGCATAGGCAACGGCATAATAAGTTATGCCAAAGCAACAACACGCAGACTAAGTGGAGAAACCGGTGGAAAGCCCACACGATCCATGACAAGGAGTGACGTGACGGCGTGCGAAGCTAGTAGGTGGTGGTCAGGAAAAGACGAAGATGGTGGTGGTGGTGGTCAGGAAAAGACGAAGAAGGAAACCCCCCGTTAGCAGACCACCATGTCATGCAGCACGTCATGTCATTCGCTGTCCGAAGTCCGAAAATTTTGCCGCCCGACGGGATAATTCTTCTAGTTGTCCATTACTGGACGATGATCTTGCCCACCATGCCGGCACCCTGGTGCGGCTCGCAGTAGTAGCCGTACTCGCCCGGCGTGTCCAGCTTCACGCTGTACTTCTCCCCGGGGGCGTTCAGGAGGTCGTCGCGCGAGATGGCATCAGCGTTCACACCGGCCTGCGGGCAGGGAGATGGTGAGCGGAAATGAGATCACTCAGATTAGTCAGGGGCTTGTGGTCATCAGGATTTCGTCCAAGATACAAGAATCAGAGGGACGCGTTGGACGCGTCATGGCCCATACTGCGTGCGTTACAAAGACATAACGGGAATCTTGCTTTGCACCAGCAAATCGAACTATCAACGAATCGTAGGCTAGAGCAGCTTTCACCTACCGGGACAGCATCCTCGTCGAAGACGACATTGTGGGGGAAGCCAGCGTTGTTGACGAAGTCGACGGTCTCACCAGCCTTGATAGTCAGGGTCGCCGGCTCGAAAGCCAGGGCACCGGAATCGGCGCCGAGCTTGACGGTGGCGGCATTGGCGGACAGAGCCACGGCCAGGGAGGCGATGGAGACACCGGCGACGGAGGCGACGCGGCTGACGGCAGCCTTCAGCGAGGCAACCGGGCGCACAGCGCCAGCACGGGAGACAGGAGCACGAAGCGTAGCCTTCATTGCGATGAAAAGATGAGAATGGATTAATACGCTGTGACCAGGTGTGAATATAGATGGTAATGACAGCCTGTTTATAGAAACAAACGAGTACGATGGATGATAAGATTCCACAGGGCCCATGAAGCCGTAGCACGAACATGGACAGCATAAGATTGGCCAGAGACATTGAGGATGGATAAATAGAGATGATTGGAAGACTTATATATTTGTTTACGTATGCAGGTTGGCTTCGTTACATTCAAGATGATCATACTGTGTTCCAACTGAAGTGCTTTAAGTAGTGACCTTGCAGATATATAAAAAGTTTTCACTTTGAATTAATTACACAACGTAGATTCCTCCCAGGTTGCCTGCTCCGATCGTCATGCGGATTACCAGTCCGGACAGCCGAGGGATATCTATCCAGTCAAGAGCTGTCCTTGCATGTGCCAGCCGGTCAATTATATTGTGATGTGTCACAACATGTTTTTATTTTGCCATGGCTGTACGCGTCGGGGGGCGTTGCTGTGGATATGACCGTTCACCTGACAACGGTAGCCTGCGAACCTTGACGCAAAGGATTGAAACATGATAAACCCCTTATCCCGGTTGAATTGCGGCATGCCCTGATATGCTTCGGAATCGGATCGGCTCTACACATGGGTAACAAGGCGCTGCCTCGGAATCGCAATGACCTTTGTCCTTCTTGGAGAGCGTTGTAGGTCTGGCCGTTATGTGTCATAGAAGGTCTGCCTTGGCAAGGGCTTCTTGCTATTGTACCTCTTCGACAGCATCAAAGGTTATGGTCCGTCCTTCGTTACATGTGCATCCTGAACATGGTACACGACTAGCTTGCAGTTAGGAAACCCCAAGACAAGACACAGTACAGGTGCGTCCGCACAATGCTGATGACGTCAGGAAAAAACCATCGCACCACCCGTTAGCTCTCGTCCCCCACGCTTCGAATGCAACGAATGTTGTCAGCCATGTTGAACAAATGAGGTAAGACTAAACCGGATGGTCACAGCAGCAGTAGCAACAGCAGCAACAATGACCAGCAGTAGCAACACTGAACGACACTGGAGTGTTCATCCTCCATACAAAATATCTCCGTCTAATCACCTAGAGGACCGGCTCACCCAGCCACATCTGGCTCCCTCTCACCTCTCCACGCGTTCCGAAATCCCGGATCCCTACTCCCGTATACGTACCCCAACCTTTACATGTATATTCATCCTTTCCCTGTCGCCTTGCGAGCTTTCTAAAGCGATACGAACCCCGCAAAGTAAAAAGTTATGCCAGACGGCGGCTTATGCGTCACCCTAAGCCTAACCCTTCGGAGCAATAAAAAAGGCATTCCGAACCCCCACGTGGTGGCACGCGCCCCCTTGGTCGCGGTTCGCCGCTGCTGCCAAGTACGGGACACGTCGGCACCGCCAATGCCAATGTCCCCCGAACTGGCGTCGGCCCCCCAAAGCTCCCGAGGAAACCACCACAGTGGGGAAGCTCTTCAAGGGCGCCAGAGGTCCTGTGTCTGAGACTCCGGATCCATATCTCTACGCCGATTTCCACCAGGTCCCTAGGGGGGGAAAAGAGACACGGAGACACCGCCCCGGCTGCCGCCGGGGGTTGGAACCCAACCCCAAAGGCTTCTTGGGGTTCTCTTACATTTATCCTAGCTCCGCCGTCTCCTTAAAACCCTTTTCGCCCCGTGCACCTACATCCTACGTGCATCCTCACCCCACCAACATCCTTTCGCCACGCTGCGTCCGTACGTCTGTCTGTCTGTCTGTGTACCTTGCCGACTATCCCTTGACAAACAGATTAAGTTAAGGACATTTGCTAATAGCAAGTCAGGCAGCGGGGGCCCCTCCGTCGACACACACAAATCCCAGTTGCATAGACCAGACAGCCAGTCAATCGCATGGTTCCAACGTCTACAGCAGGAAGGTCTCTGCCTGGTTACCCCCAAGACCCCACAACCCTTCCTCCCTCAGACGAAACGAACAAACGACTGTGCACGTGACAGCCCCCCAAGGCGTCCAACCAACCCAACTACCAACTGAAACCCCAACAGTAACGCCGGGGCCAGAGGTATCCGGAGTTCCGTTTTGCACACACACACACACACACCGGCTTCCCATGTCAACACTTACACACACATACATACATGCATACACACAAAGACATACACACAAAGACATACCGCCATCCCGAGCCCATCGGTGGCCCAATCCACGTCGTCTTCTCTCTAAGCCCTACACACCTAAGCACCTCACCGGAGCCCACTCCACGGCCCCCCCCATCATGGTGCCGCATTCCCGTTCCCATCTCCCCCTCCCCAAAAAACCGTTTCCTCGCCATTAGAGCAGGTTGTGAGAACAACAACAGCTGACAGAGTTGTTGCCACAGTTGCCGCAGTGGGTGACCAAATGAACCCACGGGAAAAAGGGCCCCCCCAGGTTCCCTCCCTGGCGCCCTGCCTGCCCGCCTCCCTGCCTGGCGAGGACATGCGGAGAGAAACAACAGGGCAGACAGACAGACAGACAGACAGGAGGGGGAGGCGGGGAAGAGGACACTACGAAGCGGAGCGTCTCAACACACATACGCACACGCGCGTCTACACACGTATAAAACACGCAATGCGTTCAGAAACGCTCCCCGAAGTTGACAAGTAATGTCCCCGAGCCCGCGTTGCAGTCCCGGGCATATTCGAAGCGGCATGCGCCCAGAGCCTTAATGCCTACGCCGTACGACATGCCGCGCCCTGGCTTGCGGTAGTACTCGGTGGGGTTGCCCATCAACTCCCGGCCACTGCCCAGGTCACTGCCGTACTCCACAAAGCCGTACGCGGTGCCCGGCAGCTTGAAGTTCTTCAACGGCACACGCACCTGGCGGTGGTGGGCGGGGGGCCCGGAGGACGCGGAGAGAGGGGGGGCAACGCGCGCAGATGAATGCAGGAATGGCCTGATAGGTGGAGGATTGGATGATCGTATTCGTGCCAAAAGTGTAGGGGTTTTCGCGGGAGGTTGAGGACCCGCGCGCGGTCGTTTTGAAAACATCGATCTGCTAGGTTAGGAGAAAAACCGTCGAAAACCAGAAACTACAGCAAAAATATTGTTATGGAAAGGGTAAACAAATGCTTTTGGCACAGAAGTCAAGGTTTTACTCCTGTTTCACTTAGAAATCGAAGATACATCTTCACCTGAGTAAAAGTATAAATTTAAATGCTAGTCTTCCGCCCCAAACTAAAAACTGAAACAGAAATTGCGCTGGTACGCCACCCTACCTCCGTCGCGAGCTCCAAAAATCGCTTCGCCGCGCCAATCTCGCCGTGACTGTAGCCACGAACGCTGTAGGGCCCGCCCAGCGAAAAGTAGTCGTACGCCCCTAGCTCGCCTAACGCATTTCCAGCCTTGGCATGCAGTACGACAGTGTACGGCGCCTTGCGCTCCTTCCACAATTGTTCCATGGTGAGTTTCGGCAAGAAGGGCGCCTCCATGAACTTGGTGTACGAGGCGGTTGCACGGTTATAGATGCCGCCGGACAGTCCAATCGTACGGCCGCCAGGTAGGCGAATGGAGGGATTCAAACCTTGATCCACCTGAAGTTGCGGTGTAGCGGCAATAACCCAGGAAAGGTGGCAACATGAAGGGGACCAGGTTTGTATGTATGTATGTATGTATGTATGTATGTATGTATGTATGTATGTATGTATGTATGTATGTATGTACGTATGTATGTATGTATGTATGTATGAGAGGGCGAAGTGGGGGAAGGAACACACCGAAACGATTTAGGGGATGCACGGGCGGGGAAATCAAGGGTAGGCTGGAAGCGCGTTTACGACTTTATATAGTTAGAATGCGGACGGACGGAGGGTGAGAGCGAAGACCGGACATCGGCGTGAGGGTCGGGTCGGGAGATGGGCGGGACGGTCGATGTCGAGGGAAATGTGGGAGGGCCAAGGGCACACTTGCGATATGTGAGGAATAACGGTGAAGCCCCGCCCCCCTGCCATGAGGGGGGAGCTCAGGGGCCCTTTACACAGTTGCCGGCGACAGGTCAGGTAGACATAACACACACACACACACAAAAAAAAAAAAAACACGCGGAATGCCCACACCTAGGCACAACGGGCCCCGCCACCAAAATAGCCCAAGACAAGAAAATATCCACGGTCTTTAGAAACGAATAAACGCTAACCGGGCTCCTACGGTTCTACATAGGCTGTTGCGTGGGAATGTAAGACGGCTCAGCAATTTCTTTTTAATAATCGACAGTAGATCACACCCCAGCTGCCAGAACGCAGCTTGGGGGCATTACTTTCAGATTTTCAGTACGATGTAAAAAAAAGCCATCATAGCCGTCACCACAGCCACATCGTGTTATTACGTAGGAGCTCCGTCTGAAACGAACGGCTGGAATCTCCAGCACCGCAATCCTGCTGCCCCATCGTGGCCATCATCATGGACGCGATCCAGATGAACACTGCAGCGCTTTTTCCTTACTATTTCTTAACACATAACACATAAGGTCCTGAGTGGACAGAGCCCGCCAGCCCCGAGTCCTCCCTCCGACTGAAAAATCAAGATTTGCAAGAAAAAACCTGAAATAACAACCCGACCAGGGTTTCGATCCCCCGCCCGGAGCGGCTCAGATTCGTTTTTCACAGCAGGGCGCCCGGAGGCGCCTCAGATTTTCAGTACGAATAAAAATGTTTTGGTATAAATCGTCACAGCCGCCTGCATCTTCCCTTCCCTGGACTGCCGTCACGACGATGGGCTTTTCTAAACGCAGCAAAAGGCCCCCCCAGTAATCTCCAACACCGAATTCACCACCCGACCGGGAACCCGCTTACCGCTTACCGGGGGCCGTATCCCCGCACACACCTTTTTTCCCCATTTTAATCCCCAATTACATACATATACATGCATATACATACATATACATACATATACATGCACATACATGCATATACAAATATAAACATAGCACAACAAACATGCGCACACCCTCAAACTCACGTACCTGGAAAGCCATCCTCGTGCCAAGCTGGTTACCGTTGATAAATCGTACATCGTCCAGAACGAAAAAGCCCTGGTACGACAAACTGAGATCGCGACCGTTGCCCGACACCGTGGTCGGCGGCCCGTTATCCGCGTAGTATCCCCGCTGCACCTTGGTCCCCTTGGCCACCACCTGCCCGTTCTCGTCTAGAGCGCTCACCAACTGCAGCATCAGAGCGTGCTCAACCTGGCAGTAACAGCAATAACAGCGGCAGCAGCAGCGACGAGGGGTTGTCAGGAGGAGCGCGGGTGCTCCTTGTGTGTATGTGTGTATGTGTGTGTATGTGTGTGTATGTGTGTGTATGTGTGTGTATGTGTGTGTATGTGTGTGTATGTGTGTGTATGTGTGTGTATGTATGTGTGTGTATGTGTGTATGCGCGGCGGCGTTGTGTGTATGTATGTGTGTGTATGCGTTGCGGCCCGGGGGACAAGGAGGAAAGACAGTCCAATCCACAACGCGCTAATGTGACGTTGTGCCGCCGTGGCACAGCTTTTCGTTCAGTGAGTAGCGCGAACAACGCTTTTAAGAAACAGAAGACAAGACCTGACGGCTCAGTGTTGTCTTGACAGCAGATCAACCGCAGTTGCCGAGTCGCAGCTGGGTGCTTTGCTCAGAATTTTCAGTACGATGTAAAAACATCATAGCCGTCTTGTCATGTTTCCTGGGACCCGGGAAGGCGGGGCTTTGGATGTGTGTGTGTGTGTGTGAGAGTGTGTGTGTGTGTGTGGGGGGGGGGTGGCGGGAAGAGAGGAAGAAGGAGGAGGAGGTTGCGGACTGGGAAAGGTCGGCAAGACAGTTCAAAACCACGAGGGGTGGTCAAGGGCATTCCGAACATCCATAATGGGAGGAGAGGAAAGGGGGGCGGGGGACCTTGTCAGCCGCAGGCGTGGCAGCAATGGCGCGACCCACTAAACACTAGCAGCACAACACAACGCAAAAGCTGACGGAAGGATAAATACCTCTGGTAAAGTAAGACGGCTCAGCAATTTCTTTTATAAAAATCGACAGCAGATCCACCAGCTGCCAGATCGCAGCTTGGGGGCATTACTTTCAGATTTTCAGTACGATGTAAAAAAAGCCATCATAGCCGTCTTGCTACGGAGCAAAAGCTTTCTGATTCTAGCACAGCAAAAGCAAACAACACACGAAACCCACACGCACTGATTGAGAAGGTCCATCCCCCCACCCTCCGCTGCGTACGCCAAAACCTTCTCTCCCCCCCCATGTCACACCTTGTTGTCCTGTCCGGTGATCTCGCTGGTCCACCCCTTGAGTCCAAACCTGTCCACAAACACGGGCGGCACCTCCGCCTCCCCACCCGGAGTGAAGATGGTGGAGGTCTTGCGTGTGTTGAACAACTGAGGGCCCGGGGGCGGGAGGGGGCCGGGAGGGGGGGGCGGGAGGGGGGGCGGGAGGGGGGGCGGGAGGGGGGAGAGAAAGACGAACCACGAGCGAGTGAGCGGGGTGGGCGTGGGTTGAGGACGCGGGAGGAGGGGTAAGAGAGAAAAATACGGGTGCGGAAACGAAGGGAGAGGCTTTTTTACTATTTAAAGCGTTTCAAGGGTTTTTCCTCCTCCTTCTGACCAAAAGTGCGGAAGAGACGGACGACGTCCAGAGGCTGGCGGTGGTGGGATTGGCGTAAAAATAAATAAAGCGCGTGGTAGCGCAATCTGTAGACGCGCGTGCATAGATCAAAACCCTCCAAACACACACACGCACACACACAGGCACGCACACACTCTCACCTGCAGGTTGCGTGTGGTGTGTGGCTTGTAGAAGGGCTCGCTGTACGAGAAGGTGAATCCCAGGTCCGCGGAGGGGTTCCTCCAGTCGGAGGCGGACAGCGACAACGTGGCGGACTCGGAGTTCCCGAACAGGTTCTCCCGGGTCACCTCCACAGAGCCCCCCGGGATGAGGGACTGACGGGTCAGGGAGGGGAGCCCGTTCTTCAGCTGGAACGACCAGTCCAGGTCAAGCTGTGGAGGGTAAATAGGGGGGCGGGTGGGGGGTCGGGGGAGGGGAGTAAGACGAACCACGAACGAGTAATGAAGCTGCTGCCAAGGAAAGAGTGTACAAGTGGGGGGGGGGAGAGGAAGAGGGGGAGGGTGGCTGCAATGCGCAATGGGGAAGCGAGAAGGGGTGGTGGTGGTGGTGGTAGAAGTGAAGCGGTGGAAAGGTGTGTGGGGCCCCGAAAACGGGCTTATGTAGTGCGTGTGTGTGTGGTGGGGGGGGTGGGGGTGTATGGGGTGGGGGTGAGAGAGAGTAGGCAACGTAGGTGTGGTTAAGATGAAGCCACCTTGCAACCCATGACCCGCGCAACCTTCCACACCATCTCCCTCCATGCCTCGACTCACACCCCTCCCTCCCTCCCTCCCTTCACGGCCCGCCCGCCCCTCCCTCCCTCCACGCCTTTCCTCCACCTCACCTCCATGCTCTTGGGCTGCACCTCCTCGCATCGGATCTTGACATTGATCTTGTTGACGTCCTGCGGGTCCTGTTCGGGCTCTATGTTGATGTCCTCCAGCAGCCCGCACGAGAAGATGGAGTTCATGGCGTCGTAGCCGTCCTCAACGTGGTAATGGTTGCCCTTCTGTGGGGCAGAAGAGCAATAAGGAGGAGAGGAGGAGGGGAAAGACGAACCACGAACGAGTGAAGGTGCTGCCAAGGGGAGGGGAGGAGAGGGGGAGGGGGAGGAGGAGAGAGGGAGGGGTGGGGGAGGAGAGGGGGAGAAGAGGGGGAGGGGTGGGGAGGAGGAGTTTAAGCTGCCCCCTTGCAACACAATTTGGTCCATCGTGCGTTCTCCTGTTGTTAGCCCCTCCGGCCTGCCCCCTTGCGTCCCCCCCCCTCCCGCTCTTTCCCCCCCCTCCTCCACGCGCACCAAAGCCCCTCAATAAGCCCCGCCAACCCATCCAGCTGCTAAGGCTCGTTTACTATATTCTCTTCCGAAACACACACACACACACACACACGCACATACACGCATACACACATGCGGCCATGTACACGCACATACATACACACATACTGCCTCTCACCTGGAATCCCGACGCCTCAATGACCTTCTCCGCCTTCACTATCCGCCCCTCGTCATGGACACTGTACTCCAGCTCCGAATCCCCGGTCAGCTTCGGTCGTACAAATCGTACACTGACATTGTCGACCTTGGCTTCCGTGACGTTGGCTCGCAGGATGCCGTCCTCCATGCCGTCGAAGAAACCCACGTAGCAGAACGGTAGCCCCCGGGACTGGTACCTGGGGGGGGGGGGGAAAGGTGGTCGGTTGAGGTCGGTTGGGGTTTGGTTGGAGTTTGGTTGGGTTTATATGCCATCATGTGTTGCCTGGCCATCGCCGGGGAACTGAAGGGAGGTGCTCTGGGACGGGAAACGGAAAAAAACGCCTTTCCGAATCAAACACGTAAGGCCGCATGACGACGACAACGACGACGACAAGGTGAAAAACACCTCCCTAGAAAACACATACCCGCTTTATCCCCCCTTCCCGAGGCACCATCACACACACCCCCGACCGGCCCCCCCCACACACACACGGGCCCCTGGCACACCCACCACTGCTCGATGCGATTCCGGACCTTGTCCATCACCGCAATATCAACCATGTACGGCTGCGGCGGGAGACATTCCGTACAGATGCGCTCCATCTCCTCCGCCGGCATTAACGAAGCGCCCTTGATGTCGATGGCGTTGATGCCGCGGAACTTGTGCGGCGTGAAGCGGTACACCACCCGTTGGTGGTTGGACACGTCATCAACGAATTCCGTACGGATCTCAACCTCCGCGATGTAGTCCTCGTATTGACTACGTAAGGACGGTATATAAGCGAATGCCCCGAAGGTTAATTAATAGTTTTAATTTATTTAATTAATAATTTTATTTTTAATTTCTAATTACATTACTTTTAATTTCATATTATTTTAATTTTTCTAATTCATATTACAGGAGCTACGGGAACATCATGATGGTGCAAGAGGAACTGCTAGGAACTGCCGACATACGTCGAAGGCAAGGCACCTTCGCAAACTTAATAATCGCAGTCCAAAAAGAAAGAACCACCATGACGCAACGTGCAGTTGTTACTCCCACACACATATAGTCTATCTTCCTCAGCTGAACTACTAGTGAGATCCGTCCCCCTTTCTTTGGACAGGAGAAGACTAGGACTATTATTATGGGGGTGCCCCGGGAGAAGGAAATATATTACGAGCCCTGGCCAAAATGCCCTGACTTTCCACTCTGAACGGCTGCGTGCCGGTTTTTTTTATCAGGGCTGGTTTCTCTCACCATGGCTACCAAAATAGGCTACTGCTGCGACTGCTATTGCTACTGCAGCACCCGCATCTCCTGCATGCTAATCCTAGGGGTACCATCCCCACCCCCACCACCACAACAACAGCGAAGCTATTACAGCTGGGGGGGTGTCCCTACGCCCCGATGCCGCCCTTACAGGAGGACCACCCCCCTCCCCCCTGACCGGCTGCTAACACAGCCACATGCGCCCAGAGGGTGTGACGCCATTACCCATGCACGTCATGTTTATTAAAGCGGATTGCCCTGCTACCCGCTACAGCTCGTAGCTACCTACTGCTACAACCGCTGGGCTACCGCCACTTCGGTCCATTTGTAGCACCCGCTCCCTCCCCGAAATACTCGCCTAACACCCCCCCCCACACACACAGCCTCCCTCCCCCTACCGCACGCACACGCATAACCCCCGAGCTGTCCGTCCAGCCGGCGCACAACACGCAGGCGCACACAGGAAATGGAAAAGGACACGCTGCCCGGTACACCCATTCTCCCTAACAGACCACCACACCAACCAAATCACTTTCTGTTAGAATAGAATCTGTCCTCCTTTTCAAGTGGACTTACTGGGGTACAGGGTTACTGGAATGGACAATTGGCAATTGTCATATTCCGAACCACCGTATCGGGTTAGGGAAGATAAAAAAAGAAGAATCAGTTCTTTCACCCTTCGGAGAAACCCCTCAAGCCCTCGGGGGCGGTCAATCCCGCCCCCGCAACCTTCTCCCCTTGCGCCGCCTCGCCCTCTGCAATATGCTAATGTGCTAACTTAGCCCGGGAATGGGCCAAATTGGAGGAAGGAGGAAGGGGGAGCGTTCCCTCTCCCTTCCCCCTCGGTGCGCGAAATCCTCCACGCTTTATCCTCTAAGCCCGGCTCCGCATGTCATCAGGCGAGCCCCGCTGTGCCACGCACATACATACATACACAGCACACACACATGCTTAGCTAACTAACTACCTACCTGCACTCGCTCACATAACTCCTGGCACCGCCGCCACCACCGCAGCTGCGGCTGCTGCTGCCGCCTCACTCGCTGCCTCCCCCCTCCGCCCCTCCCAGCACACACTGCCAACCACCCGGGGGCTGCAGCTGTCCGCATTCTCACACACTGCCGCTGCTGCTGCCGCCCCCAGGCGGGGAGTAGCCATGGCGCCACCTCCCTCCTTCCTCCCCTCCTCTCTCCCTCCCATCAACACACTCACATTTCCAGCTTGCGGCGGTCGTCCAGGAGGTCCTGCTTCTCGAAGATGTGCCCCTCCTGAACCGTGAGCAGGTCCTTGAGCTCGGACTAGGGGAGAGGAGGGAAGGAGTAGTGGGGGGAGGGGGGAAGTGAAGGGGGGGCGGAATGGGGGGCGGAATGGGGGAAGACGAACCACGAGCGAGGAGGAATGCGGGAGAAGAGGGGAAGACGAGCCACGAGCGGGGAGAGGGGGGAGAGGGAAGGGTGGGGGAAAAGAGATCAAGTGAATCCCGACGAGAACAAGAGTGCCAAATGGAGCAGCTTATAGCGGTTATAGCCAGGAAGCAGCCCCCAGCTCCATGGCTATTAGAGCCGCAGCAAGGGAAACCAGCCCGGAACCGGAATCACAGACACAACCACCCGCCCATCACCCCAGGTCACGTCCAAAATGTGGCAGAGCTCCGCAATGGCAAAGGACGAGACGGAGCAAAGCTTGATGTGTTGGCAGCAGCGTACCTCGGTAGGCAGGTTGCCGACCTCTGGCCAGCCCTCGATTACGATTTCCACGCAGCGGTTGGTCCCAGTGCGCTCGCCTGGCTTGTGCTCCAGATCCTCAGTATCCGTAATGAGATCTTTCCAATTGCGTCCTTTTTTGCTGTCTGTTTCTTTGCCCTCGGCGCTTGCTGCGAGGTCAAACAGTGGAATTGCCCATCCGCCGTCTGGCTGTCCATTTCCGCTGTCAGGACCGCCACCGCCACCACCACCACCTCCTCCACCTCGCCCTGATCCACTGCCTCCAAAGCCGCCAAAGTTTGGCACAAGCGCAAACGCGGATAGAGCAGATGGGATACCGAAGATACTGAGCCTGCCGATGGGAGCAGGCTGACTAAATGTCGACCCAGAGCAATTGCTACTGCTAGAGCATTCCTGATCAGTTTGGTTGACTTGGGGTTGTGCGGCTTGCACGCGGACGGATAGCGGACGACTTGCGACGCGAGGTGTCGGCCGCGCAGCCAGCCGGCCTGGGCACGTCGCCGTCCTCCCCAACATGCTTATCGCAGATCCCCTATGCAGCAATTGTTTCGCCTATAGCTGCATGAGTAAGGAGCGATTTTGCCCGATTCGTCAGCCGCCGCCTGTTCGGAGCTTCGCGCGATAATGCGAGTCACAGGAAGCTCTGAGGCGTAATAACACGTGCAAAGCCGTTACAAATGAGCATGATCTACTGCTTGCCTGCTGTGTCTGCACAAACACACGAAATGCCCGCCGTACTTCAATTTTAGAGTCAAGGATTTTCAACCAAATGCAACCGCCTTGTTATGCTTAGGACTTAGGACTCTAATGAGGTCAACTTCATAATTGCTTTGAAAATATAATACCTGCATCTGCCATCAGGATCTTCCTTTAGAGCTAGAAACGCTCACACCCGCGGGATGGGAAAGCTTGGTGAGGTTCTTTCGCATCCAGATGAATTTTTACCTCTGGTGAGCAGCATGATATCATCCTTTTGATGTTCTCATCCTGCAGCATTTGTCCACTGCTGTTAACTGGCGCTCTTCGCGCAGGTGCGGATGGCGCGCGCCGCGCAAAAGGCAACCAGACTTCCCAAGGATCCGGACTTGGCGTTCTGCTACGGCATCTTGAACGATGTGTCGCGGAGGTGAGGATCATGTCCTTGCGTCTTTGTCGTGGTGGCGCCGCGGGTGTTGTATTGACCAGGTGAGGCGATCCCCTCTCCGCCCCACAGCTTTGCCATCGTCATTCAACAACTTCCTAATCCGCTTCGTGACGCCATTTGTGTGTTCTACCTGGTGCTGCGCGGGTTAGACACCGTCGAGGACGACATGGCGCTCGAAGTCAGCTTTAAAGTGCCGCAACTCAGGTCCTTCCACGAGCGTATTTATGACCGGTAAGTGGGAAGCAAGGGGATATTTTGCTGCGGATGGGCAGCAGGTAGACCGTACACGAGTATTCATCCTCAAAAGGTCTATATCCCATGCTCATCTGTGTTCGCTACAGAGCGTGCCACAGCGCACACCTCGCTCCGTGCAAGTAACGCTCATAAACTCGACATAAACTGCCATGGACGCCCGGGCCTTACTTCCGGCCTGCTGCTTCTTCCCTCTGTGTTCGTGCCCTTTCCTTGATTGATCCCCTTTCACCCCTTTCATTCTCTGAGACCCACCGCCAACGCCATTCCCCCATTTTCCCCCCCTCCCATTCTCCCCCAACATTACATCCATTCCTGCGGCCCCCAACCCCCCGTTTTCCAGGGGCTTCACGATGGCCTGCGGCTACAAGCACTACAAGCGGCTCATGGCGCAATTCGGCACCGTGGTCAACGTGTTCCTCAGCCTGGAGCCCGCGCACCAAAAAGTCATCGCGGACATCACTCGCCGCATGGGCCACGGCATGGCAGACTTCATCGAAAAGGAGGTGCGGCGGCGGCACAAAATTCCTAGGCTAGGCACACACATATACACACACACGCGGGGCCGGTAGCCGCGCTGGGCGCGTTTTGGGGGTTCGCACATCATGCGGGCTCCTCACTTGGGGGGGCGGGCCCCCTAATGAGCTGAGCCAACCCGGTTCGCGGGGTCGCCTGTTTCGCGGGTGGCCTCCGCTACACTGAAGATTATCCTCACTTGGGTGCTGCGCAACACGACGGCAGAAGGGCGGGGGGACAAGGGGGGGGAGACATGGGAGGATGGGTGGGCCCGTAGCCCAGTGGGAGGCAGACCTGGAAGTGGGTTCAGATATCGATGTTGTTGGCTGCGAGTGCGGCTGCGACTAGGGCTTCGTTCTTGTCCTGCTGCTGCTGCTTGCAATGCCCCTCTCCCCGCCCACAAAATACACCCACATCCGGACACGGGGCCCCGTCAGGTTGAGGCCGTGAAGGACTACGACCTGTACTGCCATTACGTGGCGGGGCTAGTGGGCATTGGGCTGTCGCAACTTTTTGGTGAGTCGGTCGTCTGTGCGAGGCCCGGCCACATCAGAGATGGTCATGACGTACATCAGTACGGCACGGTACGACGGCACATTGCGTGATGGTGGTAAGATGTAGGATATATCTGTCACTTCTCCTCCTCCTCGACCTCCCCAGTCCCGACCTGGCCTGTCCAACCGCATGGTATACGCACATGTACGCTCATCATACGAGCCCTAGGAGTATTTTTCCCCGTGTGCGTGTCTGTGCTGAGTTACTGATGCTGTAGCCGCCAGCTAGCCCCTTCTTTCCCGCTCTCTTTGCGATGATTTTCTCCGTTCCTCCTGCTTTGGGCATCGGCAGTTGGTGGCTTGGAGAATTATTCGGATTAAATATCTTCTTCCTTGATTGTGTACTCATGTACTTGTCATGTCCTCGGCTCCCCCTCCCCCTCCCGTGGCTGCCCCCCCCCTCCTCCGCCGCACGCAGCCGCCAGCGGTCTGGAGTCCCCCTCCATCGGCAGCGAGGAGGACCTGGCCAACCACATGGGGTTGTTCCTTCAGAAGACCAACATCATCAGAGACTACCTGGTGAGCTCCAGGGGTGGCCTGAAAGGGGTGGGTGGTGAGCTCCAGGGGTGGCCTGAAAGGGGTGGGTGGGGAGCTCCAGGGGTGGCCTGAAAGGGGTGGGTGGGGAGCTGTAGGGAGACATGATGGATGGGTGTGATGGATGCTGGAGTGGGCGGCAGGGGCTGCGGGGACTCATGTAAGCGTGGGCGGGGATGGCGCGGGAAATGGGGTAGGCCAGCACGGCAGACCCAGCAGGTGTGTGTGCATGGTTGCACGGTTGCATGTATGTACGCATGTCTGGATGCATGTCTGATTCCCAACAAGTATGGAAGGTGCATGTAGGATTGTGCGTGGATGGGAAGGACAGGCCGAAGAGTGGATGGGAAGGACAGGCCGAAGAGTGGATGGGAAGGACAGGCCGAAGAGTGGATGGGAAGGACAGGCCGAAGAGTGGATGGGAAGGACAGGCCGAAGAGTGGATGGGAAGAAGAAACGGTGGAGTTGGGGGTGTTGGGTGTTGGTTGCGAAGACAGGGGAGAGCGAGGAAGGGTGCGTGAAGGCTAGGGAAGGAGGTACGCGGCCATGATGATCCAGGACCCCAAGCCTAGAGCGGCACGAAGGCGCCCCAACCCGCTCCCCTCACCCCCCCACCCCCACCCCGCACCCCACTAGCTGCTCGCAGCGGCTGCGGGTGTCACGGGGTGGGCGGGGGTGGGGATCGGGTGGGCAGGTGCCGGAGGTTGCTGAAACCGCCCTTGACAGAGAGGCGGACAACTGGACTGAGCCGCGAAGTGGGGCCGTTCAAGAGGGGCACCTAGCAGCTCTTCATCCCTCTCATCGATATCCCGCAAATCCGCCTTCTACCCCCCATGCATGGCACTTCATCCCTTGTTTCCTTGCATATACCTTCCTCCCCTCCCCTCCCCCCGGATGCTGGACTTCGCCAGCTGTCACTTTGACTTATGTATCGTATGTTTTGTGTGTGTGTTCCGTGGTTCGGGGTGCGTGACCCCATACCTGTAGAACTCTACCCATAAGAGACCTGAACGCCTAAAAGCCACGGGCAAAAAAAGGAAATACCGCGAAATAATGTATCATAGAGTTCCCCGTCCCTTCTCCCGCCACCCCGGAATCACCTGCATCTAAATCCACCTCCTCCCCACCTCCACCTCCTCCCCACCTCCACCTCCTCCCCACCTCCACCTCCTCCCCACCTCCACCTCCTCCCCACCTCCACCTCCTCCCCACCTCCACCTCCTCCCCACCTCCACCTCCCTGGAGTAGGAGGATATCATGGAGGAGCCCGCCCCCCGCATGTTCTGGCCCCGGGAGATCTGGGGTCGCTACGGCCCCTCCCTGGAGCACTTCAAGGACCCCGTCAACCGCAAACAAGCCGTACAATGCCTCAACCACATGGTGCGTGTGTGCGCGTGACGGCGCGTTGTTCTGTCCGTCTGTCTGTCTGTCTGGGTGAGTAGAGTGGACAGTGGAGTGGAATGATATACCATATCAGGCGCTGGGAAGCGGCCGCCAGGGGCCGTCAGTTCATCCCGTTCGCCCCACCTACGCCCACACCCACGCGCACGCTCCTGTCCACACACACGTCCTGCAGGTCACGGACGCGTTGCGGCACCTGCCGTACTGTCTGCAGTACATGAAGCAGCTGAAGCACGTGCTGGTGTTCCGGTTCTGCGCCATTCCCCAAATCATGGCGGCAGGGACCCTGGCGCTGTGTTACAACAACGGCAAGGTTTTCGAGGGTGAGATGGTGTGTGGCGGGGGGATTGGAAAGGAGGCCACAAAGGGGGGGAGAGGTGGTTTAGGGACGCGGCGTGAGGGTTGGCGGGTTCATGGGCTTGCGGGGCGGGAGGTACGGACTCCCAGGAGAGGGGAGGATAAGGCCCCGGCGTCGCTTGCGGCTAGAGGCTATACAGCTGGCCCGCTGGCTGTATGTATGTCATGTCATGAATCGCGAGGATGACAATATGCGTCGATATGGTTGTAGTCATACCGCCGCTTGCTAAGACACGGGCTCGAGGTTCGAGTTCTGAGTGCAACCGCGTCGCTTCGCTTTTCACGACAATGCCGTATATTTGTGAAATTTACCCCATCCATCCATCCATCCATCCACCCGACGGACTGACTGACTGACCGCATGTGTGCGGCCAGGTGTTGTCAAGATGCGCCGCGGCCAGACGGCCAAGGTATTCGAGACGTGTAACGATATGGGCGACTTGTACCGCTGGTTCATCCGCTTCCTGGAGATGCTCAAGACCAAGGTGAGTGTGTCTCCTCGATGTGGCTACTTGGCGGCGGTAGCTTTGCCTGCCCCCTTTCCTCTCCCTTCCGGGGGTGGGTGGGAGGGAGCCAGGCCTTGGGCGCCAGGGGGCCCCGGGGGGGGGGAAGTGGACTGGGGCCCCATGCATCTGTCGGTGTCCGTGTGCCTGGGTGGCCGGTGCGGGTGCGGGTGGGGGTCTATCGCGGTGTGGATGGTTGGCTTTCGTTTGCGGATTTCCATGGAGGTATGGAGATATGGACGGCGGAGGGATGGAGGAGCGGTTTATGAGTAGAAGCGGGGGGGGGAAAGGTGTATTGGCACGGCGGGGCCAGGGGCGCAGGGCTGTGGGTCGGAGGCGCCGATGATGGTAGGCAGCCGCGGGGGTTTAAGATATGGACGGGAGGAGGACGGACGGGGGACGGAGGGGGGAGGACCCTCTTACATCCGCGGAAACGTACGATAAGCGGGGTTGCGGGTGCGGGTGCGGGTGCGCTTGACATTGCACAGCAGCTCCATGGCAATAAACACGGTTTGTTGACTCTCTCTTCTCTCTCTCTCTTTCTCTCCTCGCTCTCCTCTCCGTAAGCGGCCCCATTTTGCGCTCCTTAAATCGCTGAACCTTTCGCCCTTTCTCCCCCTTGACCATCTCTCCCTATACCTCCACCCCCCTACCCCGACAGGTGAGTGGCGAGGTGGCGGAGGATGACCCCACCGCGGCGGCCACGCGGGAGGAGGTGGCCACCAACTTGAACCGGTGCTGCCTGGCGCTCGCGGAGGTGAGAGAGGGGCAGAATGGGAGATGGGGGAAATGCACTTACCATGCACTCCATGCTTGCTCTCTTCACGCTGACGTTGCCACCCGCCAGCACCCACCCCATCCAACCCGCTTTCGTTCACCCCGCCCTCCCCTACACCCTTTCTCTCTCTCTCTCTCTCTCTCCCCTCCTGACCTTCCGCTCTCCTTTTCCATACATGATTCCGTTCTTCCGACGCCTATTTTCCCCCCGTAAAACCCCATTCTCTCCCCCTTCTTCCCCCCAAATAATCCCCCCCCCTCACAATCACGCGCACTCCGGTCACGCACGCACACCTATCCAGTGGCGTTTGGCCCAGCCGTCTCCCCCGGGCAGCGCCCTGGCGGTGATTCGCGACGCGACCGCTCTGGCGCTGACGGGCTCCTACTTCTACTACGTGTGGCGGCTAGGTGGCCCGGGAGCCGAGTCCCTGCCGGAGCTGTTGCGGCCGTACTTCTGGGTGCTGGAGCAGCACGAGCTGCTGCAGCGGGTGGTGTCGGTGGTGCTGCTGGTGCTTGTCTTCGCCGCGGTGGTGTGCGACCGGCAGAAGGCATAACCTGGATAGGGTGGGTTGGTAGGAGTGGTAGTTAGGAGTTAAGGAGTGGTGATGGATTGGGGGTGGATGAGGGGAAGGAAGAAGGGAAGGTGTGTGTATGTATGTATGTATGTATGTATGTATGTATGTATGTGTGGTCGTGGCAGCCAGAACGAGTGGCGGGAGGTGTGGGTTATGAGAGTGGGAGCTCGTGACTGAGGAGGTGGAAGAGGAAAAGGGGGGCAGCTGGAAATGGTTGTTGGAGGCAGCGCTTGGGGGGCGGTGTTGGTGAAGGTGGCGCATCAGGAAGTCAGGATACGTTGTAGGCGGGGAAAGAACGATAAAAAGAAGAAGGAGAAGCGGAAGAAGAGGAAGAAGAAGACCGAAGTCTTGTATGTTGGTGGGTTACGTGCTCAGCAGCTGAGCGAACTCCAGGAGTGCTATACCCTAAGGATACGTTTATTGCGCGAACGAGACGAGGACTCGTACAATCGGCACCCCTTGACGACCAGTGTATGATGTGTGTTCATGTGACCACCTAGCGTAGTGGAGTCCCACACCAGGCACCGTATCTGGCAAGGAAACGGGCCCTGAGCAGATACGACCCAGCGAGCTAGAAGGGCCCCCTCAACCTGGCTAGCTAGCTAGGCGAAGAGGTCACATCTGCAGGGTGCAGTCTCCGCTAGTATCGAATCTCGGTGTTGACACCGACGCCCGAGCTCGGCAGAGCTATGGGCACTGAGGTAGTGTGTGGCGGTCTCAGGGCTGCCGGGGGGTAATGGAGTCGCGCCCACACCTTGTTTTTGTGTGTGCTGCACTGCCGGTGGCTACAACCCCGTGCGGCTGCACTGCCGGGTGCGGCGGCGGGGCTGTCCGGGGGGGTGGGCAGGTTGTGTTTAAGATGTCGGAGGAGGCAATGGATGGATCTTCGTAGTGCGGGTGTATGTTGTATGATGTGTGGGACAGGGGGTCATATCTTCACCCTGCGGCCGCTACCTGGCAAACCCTGCCTTCCCCGGTATTTCGGGGCACCCTCATCTAGTTACCCTAGCCAACTTCTCAGTGGATCTTAGCACAGGTGCAGTACCCACCACCAGCATCCAACGGAATCTGCCAACGGATCAACGACGGCCCAACTCCCTATGTGCGTAAGTCTGTGTCTGTGTGTGCGTGCGTGTGTGCTGGCGCTCGAGGTTACGGAGAATGCCGCGACACTTATGCCGTACACACATACCGCATCAGCGAGAGACCGAGAGGGGCAGTTTTCACGGTACTGCCGCCTGGTCTACCTGAGAGGGGTGCGGCTGCTGCAAACGACGATATAACATGTGCTATGGGGGCCCCAAATATCTACGGAGGGGACGGAATGTCCAGTTTTTGGAAATTGTTGAAGAATGTGAAAGAACAACCCCATCACCGGCGGAAGACGATGGCCGGCAGATTTTTCTTGGACACACTAATGGAGACTCTTGTTATGGTCGTTGACTCCCCTTCTTTATCCACGCGGTCAGTGATGGATTTCTGCCACTGAAAGGCCGCTACGGTATTTTCCCGCAACTCGTTCATGCTGCACGGTGCTGTGATGTTTTGGTTGCTTGTCTTTTATAATCGGCAAACTACCACAAACTTTCAAGATATGGAGCCTTCTAGTAGAGCAAAGTCAGCGGAGTGTTGTGAAGTCTTATCTATGGTGTACGATTGCCGTACGGATGTGCGTGTAATTACGTAAGGGCTCGTATCCATGACTGCTGCAAGCTGCAGCGGGACGTCAGTCAGTAGAGATCCTGTCGGTCAAATAATGACCTGATGTAGCCTGTTCTGATAACCACGGTTTTTCCACCCCGTCCAGGCTGTGTAAGCGAGGTATTGTATCTGGATAATGCCATTTCAATGCCCGAGTGCCGTTCGCGCGGTGTGTCCAACGCAAAGCAGGGGCCTGCTGCGGGGTTCGCAGCTAGTGCGGGGTGGTAATGTACAGCCAGCATTACCGCTCTGGACTACAGCCGCCGTGGACGCTTTGTCTGTTCCCGTTCCCTTAACGACTTGTGTTGCGGAAGACCCGACCCAGCCAAATGACCAACAACTTCCAGTGTTGCGCGGTATCCATGTTTAGAGGTATCATGCCTTCGCTCGCGAATACTTTTTACGAAATAAATCTATTGACAAGACGCGGTTCGTGCGCTGTCCTGAGGAAGCTTATGAGATTTACCTGAAATGCGATGCCAGGGTGCGATGTGTCCATCGTAATAGCTATTCCCCCTCCAGGGGGATGTGGGTGAGGATGGAGAACAGGTAACTAGAAAAATTACCCAACACCCGACATTCCAACTGTACTTATCCACACATATTTGCGAATGAAATATTTATTTATTCGCGTTGTTCATCGTCGTCTGTAGTAGTATGATTTGCCAACGTCCAATGCGAGCTGAAGAGGTTGAAGTAGGAACCGATGTCGGAGGCTGCTTGGAGGCTGCCTGACCATTCGTTTTAACTGGCCCAGGCCGACGTGATGGCTGACAGCGCATGGGCCCACGAACGCAGGCTCTCCCAACCTGAGCCTGGCAGCGCTCCCCTCATCCCCGTTTCCACCTGAGCCCGCAGTGCTTGTAGCAGCAGTTTTAGGGTAGGTAAAATACAGCGAGCCCCAGATTCGAGGGAACGTACACACATACGCACACACATGCTTAGGTCGCACGCACCTGCTCCTTGAGTTTTTCCAGAGGTATTCGTTTCCTGCGGACTTCCTACGGTCAGACAACCTCTCAGAGTTCTCTCTTTCCACTGACTTGTTCTTCTATTGTAATGCGTCCTCGCTCGTAAGCTCTCCAGCTTTATCAGCTCCAAACAGCGCCGCTGCGTGGAGCCAGCAGCAGCAGTAGCAGCAGCAGTAGCAGCAGCAGTAGCAGCAGTAGCAGCAGCAGCAGCTCCACAGCAAAAATATTCGACGTGCTCCCTCCCATTTCTGCTTTCCTAATCGCGGTGCAGCTCACGCGCTCTCAGTGATCCCAGCTGTGCTGGCGGCCGCAACGCTAGAAACAGCTATCTCCGGTAGTCGTGGTGATGGTGGTGGTGGTAGTGGTGGTTTGGTTTTTGTACCTTCTTCGCTTTATGATGACCCCTAATAACGACCGCCTCCGCGCGCCGCCGATCCGTCACGGCAGCTGCCTTAGGATATCGCCATACCTAGCAATTCTACGGTTGCTGCCGGTGTTATTGCTACTGCTGGCAACAGCGGGTAAGTTAAAAATCAGCCTGATGAAAGCTCTTTGACAATGACTTTTTTCATGTGGGTGGCATTTCCCCCCCCAACCTCCCCACCTCCCCCTTTTACTAGCCATCGCCTGCAAGCACACATCCACAACCCTAAGCTTGCAGATGGAAGCAGACAACCAATCTTTACGACTGAAAAAACACCGACAAAACAAAAACAATAACAACAGCAACAAGAGCAGCCTGCACCAGCCTGACCGAGTAAGGTTCATGTGTTCAGTGAGCGCGGGTGTGGAGAGGTGGTGTGGGTTCCCATGATGGCAGTTGCACCCCCCCCCTCCCGCCACCACCGAGAGCGTGAAGTCCAACACGTACGTCTGTCGTTGGGTCTGCTACGGCCATTGACGGCGGCGGCGAGTATGGAACGGTGTTTTGTGTTTCTGACGGCGTCCGAGCTTTTCCCCGCCACAGGTTTGTGCGTTGCTCAGCAGGTAGAGGTTCCGGAGCTGGTTGCTGACGTAACGCCGGCACCACCAGCCGGTAGGATGGGAGTTTGCTGCTGTTATTTGTTGCAGTAAATAAAAACGGCAGATAGAAGAAAAATAGCATAACTATAACACTTCAAAGAGAACCGTAGATTATCTGTGTGTATGGGAAGGGGGAGGAGGGGGAGGAGGGGAAAGCGCCAGACGGTCAGAAAGTCCATGGCGCCATCCGAGCCCATCACTGACCCGTCATGGGTCGCAATGGATTGGCACGGGTCGGAGGAGGCCGATGTGTATCCCAGCAGTGGGCCCCAAACGGGATAGTGACCCTCTGAGATTGAATTGGACCTCCCATGGAGTTGTGATGGGTGTACTTGCAAAATTGGAGCAAATGCGGACTTCAAGTGCCATGCATGTGGAACCGCACGTGGCCTTGAAAACGTTGGTGGCGTGAGAGGACATTAATTAACAAGGAAACGCCTCTTGTTATCTGGTCACTGGTGTCGTACGTACGGATGTGGCTTCCATTGGACATTTCTGGACGCCGTTTGCGCCCTCAATGATGACGTTGACGCCACGTTGATGCCGCCGCGGCGCCACTGCGAACGCGGATTGGAGGCAGCGCGCCGCAGCCCCGCCGCTGTCCCGAGCTCCATCGCCATCGCCAACATGCCCGTACCAGCACCAGCACCAGCGTCGGCACCGGCCGCCACCGCCACCGCCACCGCAGCCACCACAGGCCCAGCGTTGCCTGCTGGCCCGAGATCCCGCAGGACCGCCAATCCCGCCGCCGCCGCCGCCGCGCCTGACGCTGCGGCCGCGAAGGCTGATGTTGGCCCGTTTACCGCTATCTCCAGGCCTGCCGCCGCAGCCACGAGGCCTCCTGCCGCCGCCGATGGGCCTGTTGCCCGCGCAAGTCAGCCTGAAGATGCTGTTGCAGATCCTGACGCTGCCACAGAGCCTGACGTCGGCGCCAATGGGACTGACGGCGCGCAGCCCGGCGCCGCTGCGGCAGGGACTGCCGCCGCCGCCGCCGCCACCACCACAAGGGCTGCCGCCGCCGCCGCCACCAGGGCTGCCGCCGCTACGACAGAGCCTGACGGCGTCGCAGCTGGAGCTGATGCCGCCGCTACCAGCAGGCTCGCCGCCGCCGCCGCCAGCAGGGCTGCAAACGCCTCTGCTGCGGCCACCCCTACCAGGCCTCCCCCCACCGCGAGCAGGAGCTCTGCCGCTACTGCCAACAGGGCAGCCGCCGCTACTGCCAACATGACTACTGCTGCTACTGCTGCAGCCAACAGAACTACTGCCGCCGCCACGAGGCCGCAGACAGCCGCCACTGGAAGTACTGCCGCCGCGCCCAACGGTATCGCTGCCGCTGCCGCTGCCGCCGCCGCTGCCGCCGCCCCTGCCGCCGCCGCCACCAGGCCTCCCGCTAGACGTGCTCCCACCGCCGCTGGCAGCCTCGCCGCCGGTAGTGCTGCCAGTACCACCGCTACTGCCGACACAGCCGCCGTGGCAACAGGGGTACCATCATCCGCAGGCCCCTCCGCTGCCGCCGCTGCCGCCGCGACCGCCGCCGCACCCGCTGCCGCCGCCGCACCCGCCGCCGCTGCCGCCGCTGCCGCCGCGACCGCCGCCGCTGCAGCCGCCAGCCTGGTAAGTGCCACGTCACCTGACGGAGCCCTCACTGCCGATGCAACTGGTACAGCCGCCAGCGCCGCCGCACCCGTCAACGCCACTACTGCCGGCGGCGCCGCCGCTGG